GGAGGCTGCCGAGTTTCCCAGGGAGGGCGAAATGTTTCAGGGGCGCGGGGAGAGAGGGGTGGCGGGACGAGTACCGTAAGCGACAGGGCTGGACCAGGCCCTAAGGGAGCCCATGCCTAGAGCGTGGGGAGAGTAGGCCCCACGCGCGGCCTGCGACGACGCGGCGCCTTGAACCCGGGCCTAGCGCTTCCCGCCGCGCGCCGGCCTGGCCCAAGTCGCAGAACGGGGGGCGGGCGGGAGGGAAGGGGCGGTCCTCCTCCTCATCCCCGGCGCCGGCCCCGCTCAGATCCGCCGCCAGTCGCTCCACCTCGCCGCCCGCCGACATGGCTGCCCCCACCCCTCTTCCCCCCTCAGACAAACAAGGCCCCAGACGACGCTACGCCGGGGCGCGTTCCGCAGTGGCTCCCCCCTCGCTCTCGTCCGCGGTCCGGCGGTGATGATGCCTCTGCCCGCCTCCTCCCGCACTCCCGAGAGCATGCCGCAAGGAGCCGCTTCCCCTCCCCCGCCGCCGCCGCCCGTGTGACTGACTGACTGACTGACACACGCAGCCCGGCACACGCAGGAAGGGGCAGACTTACTAGGCTCCCCCTCAGGGCCGAGGCTTTCAGACCGATGCCCTTGAGAGACGGGCCCATGGATGGGGGTGGGGGAGGCTTACTTTCGAGGAAACACGGGCCGAACCTCGGTGGGTTCCCCCGCATCCCCACCATTTTTAAGCCCTACACAAAAAGTATCATCCTTGCAAGAGTCTCAAAGACTGTGCACAGTCAACCCTGCTCAGGTCCACTCAAGTCCAAATTCCCCGCTGGTATTTTAGAGGCTTGGGTTGCACCCATGGAAGAGCAGGGCGGAGGGGTGGGGGTGGGGGGTTCAAGCAATGCTCCTTCTAAGCTGTGGAGTCTTGTGAGCAAAAAAAATAAAAATCTACTTTGTGAACTACTGGCATTAAAGTTGTGAGCCAGCAATTTGGCTGCTGCATAAATTAGTTTGCTCCGGAGCCATCCTTCCTGAGCTAAGGCAAAAGTGTGAGCTGGAGGCTAAAAAACTGCGAGCTAACTCACACTAACTCAGTTTAGAGGGAACACTGGTTTCCAAGTCGGATTTGTAGGTGACCATCTGACCCATATTGCCCAGGCATGTGGCTAGCGTGGTGCAGTGGTTACAGTGCTGGACTAGGATCTTGGGCCACACAGATTCGAATCTCTGTTGTAGTGTGGAAGCTGGCTGGGTGACCTTGGGCCACTCACTCTCAGGCAAACCTATCACAGAGTTGCGAAGATAAAATATAGATGGAATCCTATAAACTGCTTTGGGTCCCCATGAAGGAGAAAAACTGTATAAAACCATTCGTCAGTTAAGGCTAGTGTTGTCTAAGCCTGGCAGGTGTTCTTCAGGGTCAGGGGTGGAGGTCTTTCACATTACCTACTACTAGATCCTTTTTTAAATCAGATATGCCAAGGATTGAACCTGGGACGTTTTGCATGGTCTTTCAAGTCTCAAAATGCTAATAACTATCAAAAACTCCTGCATTGCATATTTCTTTTTGTTGTTGTTGTTCAGTCGCACAGTCGAGTCCGACTCTTTGCGACCCCATGGACCAGATCACGCCAGGCCTTCCTGTCTTCCACCGTCCTCTGAATATTTCCAGAGTTACAATATTATATACCCTTTGTATGTGTCCTCTGGTGCTGCGCCTTCAATTTATCTTTTTTTTTTTTTAGAGCTTTAGGTGGGGAAATTATGTGTTCTTAGTTTAACTCCTCCCCCCCCCCCGCTCATGTTGCCTCCAAACAGAACCATAATAACCACTAATTTCTGAAGCTCTTCCTGTATACTCTTTATCAGCTGCTCCTCAGTTCCTTCTTCCCATTGTCTCCCGAGTCTTCATGCTCCTAACTAAAGTTGGAGTTCTGGGGAAATCAGCTTCTAAAAACTACCATTCATTGCTAAACCTGCTTCAGAACAGCCTTGTTCTTTGTTTCAGAAAATCTCCAGGTATGTGAGAGTTGGTTGTGGTTATTTAATGATGGGGGGGGGGGACTCCACATACCTGCGGGCATTCTCTATTATCACCTCACTGGATGTTGGTCCAAGGTTGAACCTGGTATTAAAAATTATTCTGCCCTGGTAACCGAACACTGCCTCAAGTTATACCATGTCTGTTAAGGCAGTCTTGCTTTGGTCATATGAATTGTGGCCGTTCCTACTAATAGTTATTATTTATGTGTACTAAAGTACTCTGACTGTATCCTTTCTAACATTTTGGGCAATTAAGGTTGCAACACGCAAAGATACTTAATGGAATTTTCTTCTTTCCTGGGATTACACAGCAAAAGCTTTAAGGAAATCAAAGTTGCCATATTTGATTAGATCTGCAGTTTGATCCTCTGTTAAGTAGGCATGCACTGTTGTGGTGAATCTGCACAGAATTTCAGACAAATAGCCATGTTGCAGCATTCAGTCACCCACATGATCAGCCTTTAAGTTAGTATATTTTCATCTCACTTCCTTTCCAAGGAGGTCAAAGGGGACCTACATCCTCCTCCTCCATTTTATCCTCACAACAAACCTGTGAAGGTTAGGTTGGGCTAAGAGGTTAGGTTAGGTCACCCAGTGAGTTTTCGTGGCAGAATGACAATTTGAACCTGGGTCTCCCAAATCAGCGTAACACTTTTAAGAACTGCACTACTTTGACACATGATGGAGAATGAAAGTAGAGAATGGGAGTATCTGGAGGAAGAGTAGAGGTGGTGGGAGTATAAAACAGTTCCAAACGGCTTTCAGATACAGCACAAGATCCGTTTTGGCCATCCCTGTCCAGAAAAGAGCAATACTTGAACAAGTGCAAAGATCAACTAGAACTTCCCAGGCTAGTGAAGCTCCCATCAAGATAGGAACAGATTTGTTCCAAATATGAGAGGATTCCTTGCTTTCTGCTTAATGGCCATTACTAATCGTCTCTTGATCTCCTAAGATTATGAAGGGGTAGTGCGTTGGGGCTGCAACGCATTGTCCTGGGCAACCACAGACATTCTTTCCTGCTGTTTTGTCTACACACCCTCCAACCTCTTTGACTCTTCCCTCCTAAGTGCAGAGCACCACCCGTCTTCCACTGTACTCGGCATATTCGTTTTACTTAATGTTTTCATGGGTTAGCATTCAAATGAATGGAAAATATGATGATTGTGCACTCCGGTCCTCGTTTCGGATTGGGGTATTTTAACAAGGAATGTAATGACTATTTTAACTAGGAATTTATTGAGGAACATTACATGCTTAGAGCAAACACAAAGACTACTTTTTGACACAGAATAAATTCGTTTCTTTTGGAGAGGGGGCCAGTCCCAGATTGAAGTGCTACATCGTTTCCTACGGGCTACTGTCCCTCTTTCCTCATAAATAAGGAGGGGGAAATGGTCGTCAAAACAACCCGGAAGTCCAGTCTTCAGAAGCAAAGAGAGACGTTGCCTGTTATCAACATCCGGCGCCTCGGGTTTTCTCTAAACAGCCAATCAACGTTGGCGTCTGCAAAAACCACGTCACTAGCACGCGACAGCTGCAGAGTAGGCATGTGTGTGTAGCTGTCAACAGCTTCTCCACTATCTGTTCTTGTCTGCCGGTGACCGACCCACAGTGTGGCATTTTCTTGGCGTCCTGTACGCGGGCTTTGGGTCGAGCCCTTTTCCCCGCGAACCTGAGAGCCGTGGGTCCTAAGACGGGCTGCTTTTGGGTCCCGGCTTTTGCTTCCTTCAGAGAATCTGGGCTTCCCCCGTTATGTCAGCCGCCTCTTCCTTTCCCTCAGCCCCAGCTGGGGTGTCATCCTTTTGCCAGCAAGCTTGGGAGCAGGTCTTTTCCAAGGTGAAGCGGGCTGTCGTTTTCATGGACTCCGCTTGTGCCGAGAGCCTTCACTGGACGTGGGGAGGAGCTGGGAGGCTGCTGCAAGCCGGGGCTCTCAACGTCAAAGAGTTTTCTAGCTTTGAATCTGCTGGCGCAGAGCAGCCCAAGGCAGTGTTTCTGGTCAGCACCTTGCTGAAAGGGAGAACTGTGGACATCATTCGTGACATTGTGAGTCTCAGCAACTTCCAGTACACTGTGGTTTTCACAGCTGTCAGCCATGCAGTGCACCTCCAGGCTCACAATGCTTCTGGTTGTGCTGAGGCTGAAGGTGGCAGCCAAGTGGTTTTTGAGCAGTTTGAAGAAAAGCTTTGCCAATGGATGGGTAACATGAGCTACACTGCAGAGGTGCAGTATGCCGCTTTGTTTCTGGCACCTATCTCACCACACCTCTTCATGTTACCTGCCTTTTCTTTTCTTTTCCCCATGATGGCTCAGGATTTGGCTCAGATTAATAATGGCAGATCAGAGAAGAAAAAATTTGCTAACTTGAGTGACGTTGATTTTTCCTCTCTGTCTTCGGAGCTGCAGCTTGAGATCAGGACGTTGGCATCTGGCTTGAACACCTTATTTGAGTATCTAGGTATGCGAGAGGAATGTTTTGCTGTTGGGCCACTGAGCAGGATCATTGCAGGGGATCTAGCAAATTACTCCCAAGCCAAGGCCAGAAGGAAAACTGCCCAGAGTAAAGCCTCAGTTATTTTTGTGGATAGGACATTAGATTTGACAGGTAAGGATCTTGAGACTGGGTGTGTTATGGTGTTTTTAAAAACTCTACAGGTATTCAGTGGATGCAAGAACACTTGCTTGTAGTATGTGACAATGACTGAAAGGTTTCCAGGGCCCTACACAGACACAGAGTAATCTCAGTGATGCTGATAGGAAGTGTGTGTGTGTGTGTGGGGGGGATAAAATTGGCACAGCACCAGATGGAAAACAATACTGTATATAAGGTCTGGCAATAACCAATGCAATAAAAAAGCTGAGCGGCAGCAAAAACTTGGTGCAGAAATGCCCTAGTTGCATCCAATGCCTTGGTTAAATACTGAAAGAAAATGTTGCATACTCACTAAAATGGAACCACATTTATTCTAGAGTTCCTGTGTATGGATCAGCCACAGGTATTCAGGTACCAGTTGGCTGGCTGGCTGGCTGTGTGGTATGGAATCCTAAATCCCTGTAGATGATTCAAGTATAAGGATGCTATCAGTGCTGTTTCTCCCCCAGATTGTGAGCTACAGTTAATTATAAGGGACCCTTGTTCCCAGAATTAGAGTTGTCAAGGCTCCTGGTGTTGGCATATTAATCCCTGTAACTCTGTTAGATCCAGAAACCTCTCAAATTTTTTCACATTTTCCTCCTCAGTTAAAATTAAGAACATTGATGTTTCATCAAAATACATTACTGGGCCACAGAAAGCAAGGTTTCCCTTCAAGAGAATTTGTATGCAAAGAGACCAATAAACCTGAATGCTGGGGTGCTCGGTTGCTGAGAATAATTGCTTTTGTTAGTGCAGTTATTTTGCAGCATAGTTTTAACAACCATGGAGCATGGGAGAGAGGGGTGTACTTCCAGTGATGGCTGAGTAGCACTGTATGGAAGTGTTTTGTCATCTCTGTTAAGAACTCCAGCAAGCCTGTAGTTCTGAGCAAGTTTACTTGGGAGGAAACACCACTGAATTCATAGAGGTTGCTTCTGACTACTTATTTATTTAGGTGTACCCCACTCCCTCCCCCCATCAGAACCCAAAGCAGTATATAATGTCATTCTCCCTTCTTCTTTTTATCCTCACAGTCACAACAACGTTGTGTGGTAGGTTAGGCGGAGAGAGTATGGCATGCATAAACTCATGGCCAGATCCTCTTCAGTATCACAAATCTGATAATATTACTGTGCATCGAATGGAATTGTAATTCACCTGATTTACTCCTTGGTCAGAGCAGGTGGCAGAGAGCTGAATAAAGATCTTCTCTTGCCGCTGGTATATGATAAATGCAGGATTTTAGATACACAGAAGATTCTTATTATAGTGTTGGTCCATATCTTGAACTAGTAGAATGAGGCAGCTGTTCATTGATCCAGGGTAAGGAGCTTACGTTGTGACTCTGCCATGGATCACAAGTCGGGGGGGGGGGATGTGCACTGCATGAACTATTAGTGTACTGATCTTGGTCTGTAATCCCAGAATCCAAGCCCAAATTTACAGCTGTAGAATGCTGCTACGGAAGCTCATCTCATTCTCTGTGCATGACCTCCTACTTCATAGGGTTGTGGTGGAAGAGAGGAGAATGATGTAAGCAGTTTTAGATCCCCTTTGGGGAGAAAGTTGAGGTATAAATGAAGTAAGAAAATAAATAAATAAATGTTATCTGGTGATATGTCTTAAAACAAAAGATTAATGCAAATGTACAGTTCCAAAGAGTAATACAAAAAGCACTGGATGTCTAATGAAGGCATGCCAGTGAAAGAATGTGATATGCATATAACAAACTCTGTCTCTGGTGACGTTCTGGAAGTAGCCCTTCCTAGATTACCTGACAGTTTTTGCATGCTGTTTGAAAAGGGATCCTATACAGTGTGAAGGGATTGCAACTAGGCGTGTTAGGAGAAAGATGCTGACCAATATGAGTGGAGCTATGGCTCAATGGTAGAGCATCTTCAGAAGGTCCCAGATTCAGTCCCTGGCATCTGCAACAGAATGATCAGGTGATATGAAAGACCCCTGCCTGAGACCCTGGAGGGCTGCTGTCAGTAAGAATAGAAAATAGGATTGCCAGCCCCCAGGTCCCAGCGGAGGTTCCCCCACTTCTGGGGGTTCCTGCTGCCGGCCAGCTGGCTGGCAGGCGAAATCTCACCCCCAAACAGGGACGTCATTGCACAACAACCCCAGCATGATGTCGTCACCCAGAAGTGACATCACATTAGCAATGTTGTGTGGCAACGCTCTGGTTTTTGGCCAAACTCTATAGCTTTGAAGCCAAAAAACCATAGAGTTTTTGCCCAAAAAACAGCATCGCGTGTGATAGCACGCTGGGGACGTTGCATGTGACATCCTGCCCACCCCAGAATGACCCGGCAAATCCACCTGCTGCAACAGCGAGGGAACCCAGCAAATCTAGTAGAAAATATGTATTTTGGTGTACCAACGGCCTGGCTCATAAGAGCATAAGAGACGCCAATGTTGGATCAGGCCAAAGGCCCATCTAGTCCAGCACTCTGTCACACAGTGGCCAAAAATACCAGGTGCCATCAGGAGGGCCAGCAGTGGGGCCAGGACATTAGAAGCCCTCCCACTGTTGACCCCCTCCCCAAGCACCAAGAAGACAGAGCATCACTTGCCTCAGAGCCCCTATCTATACCTTGTGGCTAATAGCCACTGATGGACCTCTGCTCCATATGCCTATCTAATTCCCTTTTGAAGCCGTTCATGCTTGTAGCCACCACCACCTCCTGTGGCAGTGAATTCCATGTGCTAATCACTCTTTGGGTGAGGAAGTACTTCCTTTTATCCGTTCTAACCCAACCGCTCAGCAATTTCATGGCGTGCCCACGAGTTCTTATATTGTGAGAAAGGGAGAAAAGTACCTCTTTCTCTACCTGCTCTTTCCCATGCATAATCTTGTAAACCTCAATCATGTCACCCCTCAGTCGTCTTTTCTCCAAGCTAAAGAACCCTAAGCGCTTTAACCTTTCGTCATAGGGAAAGTGTTCCAACCCTTTTATCATTCTAGCTGCCCTTTTCTGCTCTCTCTCTTGATCTGTCTCTGCCAGTTCAGACCCCATCAATGTGTATTTATATTTAGGATTTTTGGCTCCAATGTGCATCACCTTGCACTTGGCCACATTGAACCCCATTTGCCATGTTGACGCCCACTCGCCCATCCTTGACAGATCCCTTTGGAGTGCCTCACAATCCTCACTGGTTTTCACCACCCTGAACAACTTCGTATCATCCGCAAATTTAGCCACTTCACTGCTTACTCCCAACTCCAAATCATTAATGAACAAGTTAAAAAGCAGTGGACCAAGTACTGATCCCTGTGGTACCCCACTGCTTACACCCCTCCACTGGGAGAACTGCCCATTTATACTCACTCTCTGTTTTCTATTAATTAGCCAGTTTTTGATCCATAAAAGGACTTGTCCTTTTATCCCATGATTTTTGAGCTTACTTAGGAGCCTTTGATGAGGAACTTTATCAAAAGCTTTCTGGAAGTCAAGGTAAACAATATCTATTGGATCCCCCTTGTCCACATGTTTGTTCACCCCCTCAAAGAACATTAACAGGTTAGTGAGACAAGATCTTCCCTTACAGAACCCATGTTGAGTCTGCCTCAATAGGTTTTGTTCATCTATGTGCCTACTAATTCTTTCCTTAATAATAGTTTCCACCAATTTACCCGGTATCGACGTCAGACTGACTGGCCTGTAATTTCCCGGATCTCCTCTGGAACCCTTTTTAAAGATGGGAGTGACATTAGCTACCTTCCAGTCCTCAGGAATGGAGGCAGATTTTTAAGGAAAGATTACATATTTTTGTCAGGAGATCCACAAGTTCACATTTGAGTTCTTTCAGAACTCTCGGATGTATGCCATCTGGGCCTGGTGATTTATCAGTTTTTAAGTTGTCTATCAGTTTTAGGACCTCCTCTCTCGTCACCTCAATCTGGCTCAGCACCCCTCCCCAACTCAGCGGTTCTGGAGTGGGCAAGCACGTCTCATTTTCCACAGTGAAGACAGAGGCAAAAAATGCATTTAGTTTCTCAGCCATTAGCTTCTCAGCTTCTCAGGCTCCATTTAAGGCAGCTTCCTGTGTTCGATTTGAATGGAAGCTAGATGGATTGTAAATGTCATATAGCTGAAGTCTAGGACTGGATTGCCTGATAGTAGCTTACTGAATTGCAGTTCACAGTGATAGCATGCATTACCATTGTGATTTGGGCATCCATTATTTGATGCTGCTTTAAGACTAAACACCTACTTGTAATTCTGGAATTCACTCCTGCACTTTTGTGAATGCAGTACCGTAATTTCTATAATTCTCTTTTCTTTAAAGAGGTAAGCCTTTGTGATCTCCATTCCTTTGTGAATGAAGTGCTGTGATTCATGCACGTCTATCATGGTCGAGCCACTTTCCCTATTACAGCCAAACATCATTGTGTATGACAGATGGAAGAGGAATTATCTAGTTTAGTACATTAAAATGATCTATAACAATTGGATTATATAAAAGAAACATTAATTCTTTTTACATTGTATTGCAAGCTTTGTGTTTTTGTGTAAGTAAAGGACTGATGTTCTTGGTTTTGATATGTTTACTATGAGGCAGGGTTTTTTTTAAAAGCTGTTTTTTGAAATGTAACATTTAAATTATTCAGATATTATTTTCCATCTATTGTGATCTGATGGCTTCTGAATGCTTATCCCTTTTCATAACCCTTTTCTACATTAATGTATTTCCCTTTTGGACCATTTTCCAGGAGCAGTTGGTCATCATGGTGACAACTTAGCAGAGAAGATTCTCTCTGTGCTTCCCAAACTTCCAGGTCATGCGACTGATGTAATGGTCAGCATGGTGGAACTCACAGCCGTGCAGACTGATGATCCACATTGCAGCATCATAGCACCAGGCTCCTTGGCACAACCAGCGTAAGACAGTTTTCTTAGCTTCTTTTTTTTAATGCAGTGTTATCTTAATGCCATGTTAAATTTGAGTTCTGCACTGTTGCTCTGGTCCACCATGTTAGGTATGTGCTTGGAACCAGATTCTGCATACGGAGCATTGAAGCAAGATCTGGGAGATGCAGGTTCGAATCTCCGCTCTTCTGTGGGAGCTTGCCGGGGTGACCTGTGGCCAGTTGCCCTCTTTCGTCCTCAACCGAATATTGCTGCCTTACATACCCTGCAGAACTGCAGAAGGTCGCGCAGGGTGTGGATGTTGCTTGGCCAGGCTAGTGACAACTAGGGTCAGGGCTTTTTCAGTGGCGGCTCCACTCTGGTGGAATGAGCTCCCAGAAGAGATCAGGGCCCTGCGGGACCTTTTAAAGTTCTGCAGGGCTTGTAAAACGGAGCTCTTCTGCCAGGCCTCTGGAGCCGCTACCACCACGATGACCATTACCGCCACCAATAACAACTGACACCTTATGGTGGAAGAGCCCTGATCCACGGACCCTTTAGTTACTGCCCAAGCAAATCACCCAAGACAACTGAAGCAGACCAAGGAGCTGATTTAAAATGAGGAAATTATGCTAGCACTTTATTATGATTTGGTTTTAACATTGTATTTATATTAATTGGTGTTGTGATTTTATATGTACTGTCTGAATTTTATCTTGTTTTCGTAAGCCACCCTGAAAAAGCGACTGGCTCTGGTCGAGGACAGCCAGACAACTTTAGGGCTAGCGTTTACCAGCAAGTTGTTCTCAGCAGAGCATAAAGCTCTTCAGGGGACATACCAGAGGCCTGACTGGCCTGCAGCAGGACACTAGATTCCCTTTTGTCATTGTTTTTGTGGAAGATCACACGGATGCCAAGATACATAGCTAATGTCTCTTTAAGGGCAGCACGAGACTTACAATCTCTGGAAGCATGAGCCTTTGGGCTTTGGTTGAAAATTTTATTTGTCACAGAAACTAATGGGTGCTTCACAATTTTAATTTTCCCTATGTGGATATTCCTTGTGTTTATTTTTATGGAATCATTGCTATGGCTTATTTGCTGATGCAGTAAACAATTTGTGTCTTGATTTTGTTGATAACCAGGACACGAAGTACAGATCACTTGTTGAACACATAATGCTGTTTGAAAATCTTCTTTCCACTTCTGTAGGCTTTAGTAGTTTTACCAACAGGGTCTTTTCCTTGGTGCATAATGGGGCAGTTTCAAATTAACTCCTTATGCCAGCAAAATCTTGAGAATGCATGTCTGTCTGGGTTCCTTCAAACAGTTGTTGGTTGGAACCTCTTTTGGCAGTTTTCAGGCCAGTGTGTGGTTGCCAATATTGGTATCTCCAAAACAAAACAATATTGGAACGGTGGTTCATACATTTCACTTCTAAATTTGTGCTGATGAACATTAATTCATTAATAGTATCATATATCTGCCATTCCAAATATTTCATCGCATAGTAATGTGACTTGGGCTACTTAACACAAGCCTCCTTTTTGGCTATAGCATAGGATTCCCAGTACTGCCTCAGCAAATGCCGGTAGATTTTGGAGGCAGGGCCTGGGGAGGGTCAGTATGGGAAGATGGGGTATCATTTTTTGGTGATGCTCTAGGTCAGAGGTGTCGAACTCATTAGTTACGAGAACCAGATTTGACATAATTGTCACTTTTTCAGGCTGGGCCATGTGTACTATAAAATGTAATAACATCCAGTGGAAGTTTAGAAAACTTATTGACGGCCAAAAGTTAAAAACATAAATAAGTATAGACAAAATGTGTGAGCTGGAAGTTAAAAACCTGTGAGCTAGCTCACACCAACTCAGCTTAGAGGGAACACTGGTGGGAACAAACAAACAAAAGGGGGGTGGATTTCAGACTAGGTAACCAATAAAGTTGGGGAGTGGAGCCCCTTATGTATGGGAATATAAATGTCAATTACAACAAAGCTAAAATTATGGTCCCAAACGTTTAAGCAAATTATAAATATTACAAATTGTGCCTCAAAATACATCAATTTTGGTTACATATTTATTTAGTGTAAAAACCCTTTTTAGTAAAATTGCACTTCTACAGATGGGAATGTCACACTCTTACAATCATTTCTCCTATGACAGGTACAATTATAAATAACATAGAATACATGGAAAGCAAACCAAACAGGTTTCAGCTGTGAGGCCTTTCTCATTGGTTTAAATTTGTACAATGCGCCCCATACGATCTTTTTGTAAAAATTATAGAAACTAAACAATCACTGTGAATAATAGCTACTATGCTTTATAATGAAATTACATTTACATATAGCCATTACATTTTAAGGAGATTTATTTATTTGATTTATATACCGCCCTCCCCGGAAGTGGGCTCAGGGCAGTTTACATCAATATCATAACAATTGTTTAATAGCAGATTAAAACAACATAAAATCACAGATCATAAAATCACAACTACCATGTAAAATAGCCTATTCAGATGTCAGTCATATCTGAGTATAACAGTGGTGCCCCGATGTCAAGCTTGAACCAGGCCACTGGTGGGGGTTGGCCAGAAAAAAGGGAGGGATGCTTGTCACCTCAACCAAAAGCCTGGTGGAAGAGCTCCGTGTTGCAGGCCCTGCAGAACTGTAATAGATCCTGCAGGGCCTCGATCTCATATGGGAGCTCATTCCACCAGGCAGGGGCCAGGGCCGAAAAAGCCCTGGCCCTTGTCAAGACTAGACGAACGTCCCTGGGGTCGGGGACCTCAATGTCTTACAGGGCTCATATGGGGAGAAATGGTCTCGAAGGTATGTATCACAACAAATAATGTGATCCTGTAATGTAAATTCAGAAAAGTCCCAGCCTTGTAACACTGCAAAACAGCTTCTGTAATGAACCAAAGAGCATCCAGATGTAAGCCCGTTTCATGGTTAATCTTCCTCAGAAGATATTCTCTGGCCCTGGTCACACGGGCCGGATATCGCGGGGGGGAGGCGTGGCTAATTGCCCCGGAGGAAACTAACGTGCGGCCACCTGAGCACATGTCCCGGTCGAGGTCCCGTGGTTCGGGGCAAATGCTGATCAGACGGGTATCCTGCAGCGCGGCACAGAAGCCACGCTGCGCGATCGCACTAGCAATCGCTCTTTGTGCGCATGCGCTGTTGGGTGCTGTTGCGCAACCTGTGGAGACTAACAGCGGCGGGCACCGGATGCCACGTAAATCCACCGGGAACATGATCAGATGCCCGCCCTTGACCCGCGGTTTCAGGAAACTAGTACCTCATAGGTACTAGTTTTTAACTCCGCACCTTCGTCGAGGAGCCACGGGTTCACCACGGGAGCACTGCGCTTCCCAGATGTTTGGGTGAGATCGCACCTGGAAAATCCGCAGGACTCCCGTGCCTCTCCTGTGGCAACTTTTCCATGTGACCAGGGCCTCATTAAGTTTTCATCTGTGTTTTTTCCCCTAGAATTAACCATGAACAATACAACATAAAGGCCACCAGGTAGCTGAATGGAATTAGAGTATTCTACAGGAACAGAAACTAAGCTATTTAGACTTACCTATTATTTATAACTCTGCATATATATAAGAAACAAGCCAGTCTTTTAGACTTTTCATAATATGATGCAAAGCCTTCTGTTCTAACATTAGCTGGCACAATGCTTTCTAAACATACTGATAACAGTGCCCTTCTTAAAACTAAATCGCCCCGGTAATTACATGCAGCTACGTGTGAAACTACCACATAGTTAAAGCTATAGATTATAATTGTGAACTTTGTTATTAATACCCAACAGATAGAATATCCAATTAATAGAATATAATACATATACACTTGTTTAATACATTTCTAATTATATCATAAATAGTGAAAAAAATCAGTTGTAACCTGTCACCATGCAGTATTGTTACATTACAAATAATAAAGAAGTAACTCCTATAAATAACATGATAGATCTAAATTTGTATTGTCCATTGCGCATATACATTTTTAACCTATAAATCCAAGCTGCCTCTTGATGGAATAACAATCTTTGAACATCACAATGATTATATGCTTGTGATAATATTTGCTTAGTATAAAGAAAAATAGATTATCAGGAGAGTGTCCCTTTTCTACTAGTGCTACCAAAGGTGCTTCCATATTCTTATTACGGATTCATGATCTATGTTCTATAATGTGTGTCTTTACAGCACATACACTCATCCCAACATATAGAAGCTAACATGGGAATAAAATGATGTATATTGTCCTTTTGGTGTTACAATTTGTAAGTTGTAGTAAGTTAAGAACATAAGAACATAAGAGAAGCCAATGCTGGATCAGGCCCACCTAGTCCAACACTCTGTCACACAGTGGCCAAAAATACCAGGTGCCATCAGGAGGTCCAGCAGTGGAGCCAGGACACTAGAAACCCTCCCACTGTTGCCCCCCCCCCAGCACCAAGAATACAGTGCATCACTTGCCTCAGACTGAGAGTTCCTATCTATACCTTGTGGCTAGTAGCCACTGATGGACCTCTGCTCCATATGGTTATCCAGTCCCCTCTTGAAGCTGTCCATGCTTGTAACCACCGCCACCTCCTGTGGCAGTGAATTCCAGGTGTTAATTACACTTTGGGTGAAGAAGTACTTCCTTTTATCTGTTCTAACCTGACTGCTCAGTAATTTCATTGAGTGCCCACGAGTTCTTGTATTGTGAGAAAGGAGAAAAGTACTTCTTTCTCAACCTGCTCTATCCCATGCATAATCTTATAAACCTCGATCATGTTACCCCTCAGCCGTCGTTTCTCCAAGCTAAAGAGCCCCAAGCGTTTTAACCTTTCTTCATAGGGAAAGTTTTCCAACCCTTTTATCATTTTAGTTGCCCTTTTCTGCACTTTTCCCAATGCTGTGTGACCAGAACTGTACACAGTACTCCAAATGAGGTCGCACCATTAATTTATACAGGGGCATGATGATACTGGCTGATCTGTTTTCAATTCCCTTCCTAATAATCCCTA